GCTCTGGCTAGTACTTTCAACACTATGTTGAATAGGAGTGGTGAGAGTGGGCATCCTTGTCTGGTTCCTGTTTTAAAAGGAAAAGTTTTAAGTTTTTCCCCATTCAGGATGTTATTGGCGGTAGATTTTTCATATATGGCTTTTATTATGTTGAGATACTTTCCGTCTATACCTAACTTATAGAGGGTCTTCGTCATGAATGATTGTTGAATTTTATCAAATGCTTTTCAGCATCAATGGAGATGATCATATGGTCCTTGTGTTTGATTTTATTAATATGGTGTATCACATTTATTGATTTGCATATGTTGAACCACCCTTGCATCCCTGGGATGAATTTCTATATACTAAATTGTGATCATGGAGTCATTTAAATCCTGCAATACCCTTTCCTGATTATTTGGTTTATGAGAGTTTCAACACTTCCTGCTATGATTATAATGATTGTAGATTATCCATTTCTCCCTATATTCTGTTTTTTTTTTTGTTCCTTTTATATTTCAATGTCAAGTTGTTGGGTGCGTAAAGATTCAGGATGGTTGTAACTTGTTGGCGTGTTTAATCAGCAAAACACATTCCATTTTTGCTTTGAAGGTATCATTCCTAGTTTCTCTTTGTTACCTTTTACTTTGTATATTTTCCTCTATCGCTTTATTTTTGAATTTTTGTTTTAGATATGTCTCCTATAGTCAGCATATCATTAGATATTTTTGCTACCCAACCTAATAATTTATCTTTTGTAATACCAATTTAACCTATTGACTCTAGTTGTGTTAGCATATAGTAGGTATTTTGTATTTGCTATGTTTTCCTTTTTCGTGTATTTCCCATCTTCGGCTGGATTTGTTTAGTTTTGTCTATGTCTTTTTTTTTAAATTCTGTCTAGGAGTTTGGAAGTTATTTATCCCATTCTTTTCTTCTCTTGCTTACCCCTTGCTCTTGAATTTTTGAAAATATATTTAAACTCATGTTTTCCTACAATGTCAATAGCTAATTGGTGTTGATAATCTCCCTCCCAAACTAGACAAGATCCTTAGCGTTCTTACACTAACCCTAACTCCTCTCAGCTTCCTATGTTTTGTGGATATTACCTAGAATTTTATCTACAAATTTTTTAGAAATTTGCTTTACATTGTAGCCCAAATTTTATGTGAATTTTACCTTAGTAACTGTCATAATCTTCACAATAACTTCATGAAAAATTATTTTTCTATCAGTTTCACTTCTTCCTTTGCTCACAACCATCTCTTTTATTCCATGTGTTCCTCTTGGTTCTATATATACTTTTTATTTTCAATATCTTCAAGTACTACTTTCAGAAAGCATTATGGGGGTAGAGTTTCTGAGTTTTTAATATTAAAAAATACATTAGCATTGCCTTCAAATTTGGATGGTAGTTTGGCTGGGCACAGAAATTTAGATTAAAAACAATATTCCTTTAGAACTGCAAAGAAATTACTCCATTTTGTTTATTGCCCAGGAGTTCAAATGAGAAATTTGACAGCAATCTGAATATTTTTCTTTAAAGTGTTTTTGTTTTACCCTTTTTGAAACTCTATTGGCTTTTCTCTATTTTCTTGCAGATCAGAAACTTCACATAAAATGTCCAATTAGGGACCTTTTTACCTCTACACATATGCCCACATTTTATTGGTTTCTCTGACAGGGGACAGTAGCATCATTTTAAAATAAAAGTCTGATATCATTTGAGAAGCCAACCAAATATAAGGAAGGAAGATGAAAATGAAATGTTTAATCAAAAGGCACTATAATACCCCTAAAATCTACTACCATGGTGGTGGTAGGCTAAAGAAGATTAAGCTACAGGAAAAACATGTAATGTAAATATAAGTGACTACATAGTAGGAAGTGAGTTTATTTTCCAATAGAGTATGGTACACTGACCATTTGGGCCCAGTAGAATATTTGGCCCAGAAAAGGTCAAGATGGTTTGAGGTAAAGCCAAATGGAATGACACAGGTATAACATAGTCTCCAAATAGATGGTGATAGATTCGTCTTCTTCTCAAGAAGCATTTGCTACACTCTGCTCCCTCCTCTCATGATCCCTATGGCTGCTCAAGCTGAAAGCTGCCTGTTCCTGCCTTTCAGGGGGTTCAGCAAACAGGAGAACTAGTTTTGGGGTTACCCAGGACTCTTGCTGTAATTTAGCATAGAATTTGGAGAACTTGGGACACATGGGGGAAGGGAGAGTAGATTTGGTGGCTCTCTTGCTAGTTGTTCTGAACAAAGTAAACCCTGAAGCATTCACATGTAAAGTCTAAGCCTCCCCAATCATTTTCAAACACCTCTACACAAGCCTCAAAACTTTGAAATCTTGCAGCAGCCAGGCTATAGTTAAAGCTGCAGGAATCAAAAAAATCAAAAAAGAAACTAGAATGAGACAACCCAGTCAGGAAATCCCAGCAATTAGTCTCAATCTTCTTTCCCCAATTTAAGATAAACTCTATACTTGATGAGGGGTGTAGAAAGCTACAATGGAGCAAGCTGGGCCTTCTGCTGAACTTTTAATCAAATACCAAGAGAAAACAGCAGGCAGCGTTTCCTTTTATTTTGACTTTATCTTATTTTATTTAAAAATAGAATAAACTGCAAGTTATTCTATTATAAAGGAACGTGGCTGAACAGGTAGGTAACAGACTCTCCATTGTGAGTTCTCCGGATGGCTTCTGCAAGGATCATGGAGATGTCGATCACCCGTATTTTGGAGCAGTCCTTCATCTTGTCCTCTTGAGGTATGGTATTGGTGACTACTACTGCTTCAAAGCATGCGCTATTGATGCGAGAAACGGCAGGTCCAGAAAAGATCCCGTGAGTCAAGATCGCATAAACTCTGGTGGCTCCAGCTGAGAGAAGTTTGTCGGCTGCGAGGCAGAGGGTACCACAAGTGTCAGCCATGTCATCCACAAGGATGGCCACCCGATCCTTCACATCTCCCACTAGCACCATGCGGTCCACTTCATTGGCCTGCTTCCGTTCTTTGTGAATCAAGGCAAAGTCCACATTCAAATAGTCCGCAATGGAGGTCACTCTCTTAGCTCCACCAGCGTCGGGTGAGACGACGGTGCAGTCCCTCCACTCAGAGATGTTCTCTTGTATCCACCTCAAGACCACTGGCTCTGCACACAAATTGTCTACTGGGATATCAAAAAAGCCCTGAATCTGAGAAGCGTGTAGATCCATCGTGATGATGTGATCCGCGCCTGCTGTAGACAGCATATTTGCAACAAGCTTGGCGGAGATTGGCGCCCGGCTCTTGTCCTTCCTATCCTGCCGGGCGTACGGGAAGCACGGCATGACGGCGGACACCCGGCTTGCCGAAGCAATCTTGCAGGCATGGATCATGATCAGAAGCTCCATCAGGCTGTCGTTGATTTCACCACAACCACTCTGAACGATGTAGACGTCCTTCCCACGCACGCTCTCGCCAATTTCCACGCAGGTCTCCTGGTTGCTGAATTTCTTAGTCACCACCTTGCCCAGCTCCAGGCCCAGGCGGTCGGCAATTTTCTGGGATAAGTCCTGGTGGGAGCTGCCGCTGAAGATTTTGATGTTCGGCATCGTAGCCAACGACCCCAGACACTTTTCGTCCAGCTGTCACTGTTGCTGCTGAGTTTAGCAGGGAAGTCGGGCCGTTACGGTCCCTTCCAGCGCGTGGCGCTAAATTGATCTCGGGTCATTTGAAAAACTTCCTGCTTGCCACCCATTCGCACTTTTAAACTGAAGAATCAAGACTTTCCAGTTCATGGACATTTAGAAAAATAGATTTTTTTTTTTCTATTAGTGCCTGTATTTGTCTTCTAGGGCTGCTTAAACAAATTTGAACACATAAAAATATAAAACTTCGACCAGGCAAAACCCGCACAAGTTTAAAAGGAAAATAACCGACTGTCATGTATTATTTTAGACTAAGTTCCTCCAATAGAGTGAGAAAAAGACATTCAAATAAAAAGTTGGAAAATGGTATAAATAAGCTATTCACAGTAAAAAATGTGAGTGGCCAACAAACGTGAAATAATGCTGGTAATCAAGAAAATGCTACTTATTTTCACACATCAGGTAGGACAAAATTATTAGATAATGTCTTCTATTCTAATAAAATGTGTAAATGTGTAGATTTTGCAAGGGTAATTTTGCTTGTAAACTTTGAGTCATCATGTTTATTTCTAGGAATTTAGTTCAGAGAAGTATTCACAAGCACTCCCAAAATATGTTGATAATGATGTCTGTTGCTGTATTAATGCATTCAATAAAGATTTTGTGAGCACCCGGTGTATATCAGGTGTTGTGCTCCTTCTAGGGTATAAGATGGTAAGTGACAAATAGTAACCACCCTAGAATTGTTTATAAAAGCAAAATCTGGAAACTAACAAGTTTTCATCAATAGGTAAATTATCAAATGCTTTATGGTAGATACATATGCAGCCATTAAAGAGACTGATTAATGTGCAATCATATGGAAATATCTCCAAAGATTTTTTTTAAAGGCAAAAAGCTAGTCATAACATATATGCATAGTATTATATTTATATATTTAAAATTATGTAATATCACAAGCATCAAATCCCTTTAAAATGATTTAAAGTCCCTTTAAAATGATTACCTTTGGAGAGGGAAGTAGGTTGTTAGAAGTTGAGGATGAAGGAGGAATGTTACATTTTACTGCTATCTATTATCAGGGTATTTGAATTTTCATTACTTTTATAATAAAAGACGAACAAAATGTATTTGGTAATTAAGTGTTTGTTAGCAAATTTTAAGTATAGAGCTTCCACAATGTATTGGGGGTTGGAGTACTGGGGCAGGAAGTAGAAAGGACCATAAATACCAAGAATTTCAACAATGAACTGACTTTCATAAACATAGTGGAGGCATCAATCAGATACAGACTGTATATTCATATCCTGCTAATTGTGTGCCTGACATTTGGATACTGGGATGTTTTCATTTAGCCTAAAACCAAATCATCATTTTTTCATATTTTAAAATTAACAAATAAATGTTGAATATATTTTCTCACCCAACTTCTGAGCTTCCCCGGTGGGTTGGGTTCATGGATAGGATAAGCTCAAGAATAGAGTAAGGAATGGGATAGGCAGCAGAGATGGGTAAGGTTCAGCAATGTCTGTGAAACACATAAAAAAAGTACTTTTATATATTGAATGAGCTATTGTTATAAAACCATATAAACAGCTATGTTAAAAATGCTACGTCAAAATGACTTGCTGCTGATCTGACCACATCTGCTCTGACATCAACATACTTTTCTCCTCAGTTCAGACTCTTCATGGTTGACAGTACATGCCAGCTCATTTCTGTCCATAGCCTTTCATTCATGTTCTTTCCTATCAAAACATCAACAGACCCACCTATACCATATAATTCTCATCCTTAGCCAGACTACATACTGTGATTTCTAAAGAAAATCCTGTGGCTTAATTTAGAAGCACTAAAAAGTACTTGCAGCTACAATTAAGTTGATTTTTCTCTTAGTATTCTCAGTATGTCACACATTTTTCCATTTTTAAAGAAAAACAAAACAGGTTTTTAAATAGATTTAATATTACCTAAATAGGACTGAATGCTAATATAAACATCTAAAAACCATAATTGGTTGCATTTTCCTTGAGGTGTTAAGAAGGAGAAATTTTTGTCTTGCTGCTATTTTTGCTCTAAGCTCTGGCTGTTGCTACACTTCATAGTTCCAAGGATTCGTCTAGAATCATGAAATGTTAAAGATGGAAATGGCCTTAGAGACCACCCAATCTAATATCTCCATTCACAGACAGGGAACTGAGGCCGGAGAAATGAAGCAATTTGTATGGGATTTATCAGCTAATTAGAGGCAGAATGTGGATTGGAATGTGGGATTCCTGAATTTCCAAGTAGGTCTTTTTTTCATACATCACTTTTAGGCTTTTTCTTTGAGGTTTATCAGAGTAAAGGACAAATTAAAAAGTAGTGCTTAAATATTTTTCTCTTTTATCAAGCAACTACAATAAAGAACAACCCCCCCCCCCCCCCACATGAGACTGGAAAATTCTTTTGCTTTAAAAAAAATAAAAACTATTTCAGAAAGAAAGGAACCATTAGTAGTGTCATGGAAATATCTTCGTTGTTCTGACATTTCTGTTACTTGGATCCATTGCAAGAGGATTTAGCCGCTGTTTACTTTGTTCTCTGTAGGTTAGAGAGACATTGATTCATCTTATCATTGACTTCTTCTGACAAAAGTCACAGGTAGGAATGATGCCCATTGAACACATTCTCTCCACTTAGGACATTGTTTCCTAATAAATTGTTCTGGAAATGAAAATTGTGATATAGAGAAAATGTCTTATCTTTCTCCTTCCCAAGGCAAGCATATTTAAATGACATCTCCACAGATCTGGGAGAATTGTTATATTTGAAGGTCTTTTGAGTCAATACCCAGAAAATATATATTACCTTGGTAATAGTTTCTTGCTTTACTGATTATTCTTTTACCCTTCACAATTCCAACATAAATAATTCAAAGAGAGCCCTGATGCAGCTTGATCAGCTAAGAAGAAAAGAAACTCAGTCAGTGCTTTCAGAAAGTGGAGAAAAATGGTTGTTGTATTTTAAGTGAAATAAATGCTTTCACTAAACATACTTGCAGTTGACAAAATGCTAGATGTTTAGGTGGCAATTATAGTTCTTTGATAAACTGTCAAATCTTGTCACAACACATGTTACAAACAAGGACAGATTTAGATGTCCTTTATGACAGCTTTGTGTAGGTTGAGAATGTGTGGCAGTTAATTTCAAGTAAGGAACATATTTTTCTCTCCAGCGGTTATCTGCTTGTTTATTAGGAAGAGTTTCTTTGTGCCTTTAAACTTACTCATTTGACTTATAGTTCCAGATCATTACTGTAACATTACCTTACCTCATTTATTTCGCTCATGATAATCATCCACAATACTTTGAGAAAACAATTTCCAACAGAGCTTCACATTTGTATGAATAATTTAAAGTTTGTTTTGTGATTGTTTATAATTAAAGTTTAAGACTGGGTGTGTTTACTGAGCTTTTAGTTGGAAATATGTCATTTTATACAATAGATGTGTAGATAGCAACTAGGTAAACAGAGCTGAGTGAAGAAAATAAAAGAACAGGAGATAATTTTGTGCATCAGAAATGTGTCTAATTCTGAGTATTATATTAGACTTGTGAGGGTACTTTTGAAATGCACCTTGGAATTTTTTTAAAAACTTGCTTATGTACCTAAAAAATCACAGTATAAAATAATGATCTAGGAACAACAATGAAGTTACATGAGCTGAATAATATATCATTGTAATGACAGACAAAGCAATATAGAGGCTCCACAGTTAGTAAGCTGCAAATAAGAAAATATCTCCCTAATATTTATGTGAAATATTTTAAACTATTTTAAGGCAGTTTTTGATAATGGATATTTCCTTTCTTATATAGAATATCAGTTTCATGAAATTAATAAAAAGTTACTTGCATTATATTTTGACAAAATGCAAGCTTCATTTATGCTATTTAAACCTCTTTTAAAGATTTTTTTCCCCTTTAGTAGTGACCATTTACTTAATCCTGATAATAAACATTGAGACCACTTATCCATTCACATATGTGAAAATTGAGTGCAGTGTGTTTTGGAATGGTTCCATAGTTCTCAAACTTCAGAGGCTTCAGGATCACCAGGAAAGTCTGTTAGAACACAGATCCCCAAGCTCCCTCCCCAGAGTTTTTGATTGATAGATCCTGAATGGAGGCCTGGACTTTGTATTGTTAATCAGATGCCAGGTGATGCTGATGTTGTTGTCCTAGTAACCACACCTCTGAGAACCTATTTCATCTAAATTTTCAAATCTGTTGGCTTTATAGTTTCCTACTATCCTCTTACTATATTTTTAGTATCTGCAGCCTTTAGTATGTCTAGTAACCACACCTTTGAGAACCTATTTCATCTAAATTTTCAAATCTATTGGCTTTATAGTTTCCTACTATCCTCTTACTATATTTTTAGTATCTGCAGCCTTTAGTATGCTTCCTTTTCTCATTTATAGTATTAGATTTTTGTAGCCATTCTCTTTCTTTTTAGTCAATTTTACCAGAAGTCTATTGATTTTTATCAAGCTTTTTTTTAACCTAATATTTGAAATTGTTGATGCACTCCATTAGCTGCTTGTTTTTAACTTTGTTGACTTCAAGATTATTTTTATTATTTCCTTTCATCTCCTTTTTGAGTTTATTTTGCTGTTGCTTTTCTAACTTCTTAAGATATATGCCTAGCTTATTATTTAATATGAAAAACTGTACATTTTTCCTTTAAGTGCTATTTTGACTGAAGTTTTTTTGTTTGTTACTGTTCATGTAAAAAAAAAACTGTTTTCCAAATTTGATGGCAATTTTTTTCTTTGTTTCACAAGTTATTTTAAAAGTTTTTAATTTAAAAATATATGGAGAATTTCAAGATAAGTTATTTTTGGTTTCTAGCTTAATCACACTGTAGCCAGAAAACATGCTCTGAGGGATTTTACTCTTTTAAAATTTGCCAAACCTTTTTTCATGGTTT